GAAATACCTCTCTTCTTCTCCCTCTACCAAGGGCACCTTCCGGAGGTCTTCTACCGACCGCTCAGTTGGGTCTATCCGGGGATCATCCATTCCTGGACGCCGAACTGTAATTGCTATTTTTCCATAATCTCTTCCGGTGCTCACCCCTTCTCCTGGCTGAACGCCCCGGCTCGAACGGCTGAATAAAAACAATTTTTCGCGGACGCTTGGTCCCTCCGGATCTCCATGATACCCTCTGGCGTGGCGAATTTTAATTTCTGGTGGAAAGTGGAGTGCACCGCTCCCAACGCATGCAGCCATATTCGCCCCATAATTACGTTGTAGGGAGAGTCCGTATCGATCACGACAAACTCGGTGTTGATGACGAAGAGACCTGTGACAACTGGCAATGTGATTTTCCCCACGGGCAGGGCAAACGAGCCGTTGAATCCGATGAGGGGTGTCCTGACTTTGGTGAGGTCTTTGAGGCCAAGACCCATCCGTTTTAAAGTTTCGGAGTACATCACTTCCGAGGAACTTCCAGAGTCTATCAAAACCCTTTTGACGTCGAATTTTCCTATCCTTAAGGTCAAGACAAGGGCGTCGTTATGAGGAGTCACTACGCCTGTCAAATCCGCGTCAGAGAATGTAATGCCAAACTCACCCGTCCTGGCCCTTTTACTAGGTGGCCCTACATCAACCTCGGCTACCTTCCTCGTAAAAGCTACCCTCTTGAGGTCGGACTCGAGTTCTTTGGACGTGGAGCGATCCAGGGGACATATATGGATGACATCTATGATGTTGTCCGGCTCCTCGATCGGGACAAGGACTTGTCTCTCTTCTGACCTGTGCTCTATGTACTCTTTCAAATATCCGTCTCGGACTAATCTTTCCAAGAACGATTTGAACACCCTGCAGCTTTCGGTGCGATGCCCGAAATCCCGGTGATAGGAACACCTAACCTTTTGATCACGGGTGGAGGGGTCGCTCTGCATCCTGGGCGGCCATTTGAAGAACGACTCGTGCTTGATTTTATAGAGTAGCTTGAAGATGGGTTCCTTGAACACAGTGTGAATTCCTTTGGACGGACCCCCTGGAGGGGGTAGCAATCCCTTTCGGGGAATATCTTCCCGCTCCTTCTCTTTTCTCTTAGATTGGAGAGCTCGGCCTTTGCTGCTTCCCATCTCGTCCTCAACCCTCGAGTATTTGTTTATCCGGGCCATTAGTTCCCCCATATCCGAGGGAGTCTTCTTGGTCAAGGATCGGTACAGGTCCGTGTCCCTTGCCAAGCCGAGCCAGAAAGATGCTGCTGCCATGACCTCCGAGCAGCCTTCTACCTCATTAACCTCTTCCCAGTATCGGATGACGTACTGGCGAAGAGTCTCAGATTCCCTCCTTCTGAGGGTCAGCAATGATCCAATGTCTTTGGGGCGCTTACTCCCCGTAATGAATCGAGCTAGGAACTGCTTCGTCAATTCCTTCCATGACCCAATACTGTTGGGGGGAAGCGCCTCGAACCACTTCATCGCAGAGTCCCCCAAGCTCATAGGAAACACTCGGCAGAGAAACCGTTGGTCCGAATGATAGAGGGACATCATCTGCTTGTATTGCCTGACATGGGCTTCGAGATCGGACCGTCCGTTATAAGTTTTGAACCGCGGCATGACAAAATTTCTTGAAACCTCCATCTCACCGATCTCCCTCGTAAAGGGTGTTTGTATGACTTCGTCCTCGGCCTCATCCTGGACAGTCTTACCCTTTCTCCTAGAGTCTAACCGGGCTCTGAGATCAATTTCTTCCCTGACGGGATGCCTTCTGAAGTCCTTGAGTTCATCAGTAAGCCCCTCATTTCCTGGGCGTCGTGTGGATTGGTTGAGTCCTCCTCGGATTCATCTCCCTTCCTCCTTCTAGACAAACCTCGCCGGAGATCGTCCAGGGCCAATGGCCTTGCTTTCCTTGAATGGTTGTCATGATGATGCTCACTAGCTCTGGGTCATTTTGGGGCCCTAGAGCTTTCTGCTTTGTTATTTAGGTGGTTTCTTAGATCCTTCGTTTCCGCCTCCCGGGCGGGAAGCCCACGAGAAAGGAATGAATCCCTCGAGCTTTCGCCAGAGGCGGCAAAGTAGTTGAGCCGGCTTAGGACGTTTACATTGTCCTTTTCCAGCTATCGTAATCTATTGCCGAACTTTTCTTCAATCACCTCCGCCAGCTGACGAGCCAAGGGGGCTGATCCCCCTGACCTGATTCCCATACTGGTTTGAGGGGTAACCCCTCTTGACCGAGTAAAGACACTTTTATTCATATATGTGTGATCTTTTCCTCCGTGATGACAGGGAGCTTGTAACTCGAGACTCCTTTGGTGGGGGTCTTTCCCTTTCTGTCGAGTGTTCACCATGGTCACTGTTCTTTATAGAGAAAAAACTAGGAAAACTAGTAGTTTTCCACAGACGGCGCCAGATTGTGCGTGCAAGATCCTGCACAATATAAAAAACGAGAACAGATCTCTCCCTTGGTGAACTCGAGTGAGCCAGTTGAGTGACCAACCACGCTGCTTGGAACAGCCTGCGAGGTCCGGTGGTAACCAGGAACGGCAACGGGAGACCCTGGGGGAGCGAAAGAACGATCTAGTAAGGCTGAAAGAGGTCCCTGGAACAAAGAAGAACAAGTTAGAAGGGCGCCGGAGTGTTTTTCGGCGTATCCCCTCCGACGATCTAGTCAGTCTTTGAGAAAGAGAGAGGAAGGAGAAAACACTGAGTGTGTATTGTAGTAAAGATTTTTTTGTTGCATACCCGTCTTGCCTTTTGCAAGGAGTATTTATACCTCAAAAGCTCATGATTGCTGTCAGTGTAGTCAGTAGGTGATCATTAGGTACAGGCAGTGTGCGCACTGATTCTGATGAGGAATGTCTTCTCTTCTTAACTGCTCGGGGTCCCAAGCAATCAATGCTGTGTCATCGGGATACCGACGGTACAATGTACTCCTCTCGGGGAGGATGCAATAAATGCTCTGTATTAGGAGCATTTATTGTCTTTCATTTCCGAGCCTTACCGCATTGAATGCGGTCTCGTCAAGGGAATGGTGTAATTAATCGTTTGCTTTCCCAAGTCGCGTGTCAGCAACGGCATGCGGTTTCTCTGTCTTCGATGTGATATCATATGCCACGCGTCCATCCCCCATTGGCTGTGGCCCCTGCATTCCTGTACGTTCTGACACTAATTGTGTAAGACGAGGTCATGCTGAATAGCCTAGACTAGCCTAGACTAATGACCTGTACGTCAATAGCTTATCCTGGAGTAGAGGAGGCGTCCAGGACGGGGTACCTCTTGGCACCGAGGAAAGGCTCATCTCGGAACCGAGGGAGGTATATCGACCGAGGTACCATATCAGACCGGGGCTACGTGTTGGTTGTAACTCGTACTGAATGCCATGATCCTATATGACGAGTACCTCGGGGGCGAGGACCTTTATGCGCCGATGGTGCTTGATCTTAGTAACAGTGGTTTGGTAAATGATAAAGACACGTGTCTTCATCATGGAGTATTTCAGAAAAGTCTCATCAATATAAATAATATGGCCTTTTGCACTGTGCATCTTTAAAGATGTCTTGATTCCCATTTTGTATCTTGAAAGATTATTTTTCTCATATTGTACCATCAATATCATTAATTAATTCTAATATGACCTTCAGACTAACATCTATTTTGAATTTTATTAAAAATTAATGCACATGCCATCCATGTGTATTGCTCTTGGACAAAATTACAAACTCACAATTCATATTCTTTGGTAGCATATGCATCAATTTTTAATGAAATTTGACACAGATGTTAGTCCAAGGTCCACATTGAAACCAATTTATAATATTCAGGGTGCAATGTGAAAAAAATAATATTTCAAGTTACAAAAAAAGAATCGAATTATCTTTCAGAGTGCAAAGTGTGAAAAACCATAAATAATAACACAACAAATAAGATTAGTGAACCCTATTATTTTAACATAAAAATTATTGATAATTATTAAAATACTGAAACTCACTAAATTCACTTGATATTCTATAATAAATTGGTGACATCACATGACATTAATCCAATGTCCCCGTTACCTACAACATTTTCGCAACCCATATGTGATGACACTTGATATTACAATCATGAAATACATTCTTCAGCCTTTTCGGTCCGGTCTAATGGCTACATTTGATTCGCACTGTCGCTAAGCTTGTATCCATGGGAGCTAAATAGCGGCGTAACCCTAATTTTTGTTTAAAGGTGAGACATTCATTGAATGATATTATTATAATATCAGTTCTAACCTATAAAAAGAAGGCAAATCTTTTCAGCTCGTCTTTGCGATAAGTTGCTCGGCTTATAGAGCATCAAAACTCACAATGAGTCCTAAAACTCATGTAAGAGCTCCAACAACTCGACTCGAAAGCTCTTCAAATCATCCTCTGCGCTAAAGCTCATGGAAGTGCTCCGAGATCACAATGGGTTACTTGTGAAAAAGGACGTTTTAGCTCGATCTAGCAATACGCCCTTAAAAAGTTACGACTTTGCAAAAGGGAAAACAATGTTTTGTAGCTCATTCGGGCAAATAATGAAACCGAAATTTTACAAAGTGATCGAACTTACAAAATTTATACATGTTTACTCAAAGAAGCATTTGAGGTAAAGAAATTACATTCAAAAATAGAGGAAACTACCAGAATCAAAACTCTTCAAAACCACCCCGGGATTCGATGACGAGCCATGATTGGCTAAGGTTGTTGCAGGAGAATGCACTAAGAGGCTGCTCCTCAGGATTTGGGTTTCTTCCTCTTCAGCTCCCTTACCTGCTCCTTTAGCCGAGCATTCTTCTTGGCCAATCTATCTCTCTCAATCTCAACTTAGAGGAGTTGCCCTTTCTTTACAATCAGCTCCAACTGAAGTTCCAGTTTAGTACAGCCCAGGATTCAAGGGTCCGGGGGCGGCAGAAGGCCCGCGAAGCCTCCTCCTGGAAGCAGCACTATCATCCAGCTCACTCTAAGGAACGACAGAAGGGGCAACTTCTGGGGCTGCAACCGGAGCAACAATTGGGGCAGGGCCTAGCCCAAACTTGAAAAGGACCTGGGTAATGACCAGCTCTCCGAAGGGCTTCGTCACGAGCTGGCAGAGTTCATATACCCCGCTAGCTTCGGCAGAAGCCAAACTCAACTTCATCTACGCAAAACCAGTAAAAACCAAAAAGTTAAACAAACACACAGTTCAAAAGAGCTTGAAGAAGGAGATAAAAACCTTACCCAAGTTCACAATACGCCCCCAGGAGCGTGGGACCTGGATGACATCCATAGCCCCATCTCCATACTCCCAACCATTCCCAGTGACATTAAAGAAGCGACGTTCCCACCCTTCAGGTGAGGGAGGAACATCAACAAAATGCCTGGGAACCTAGATCCTCCTGAAAAAACAACAAAAAACCGGGGAAACTCACGAACCAAGCAGAAAAAATGAAGAATACACAGAGAGAGGGGAAGTGGTCATGGCCATGGAGATGCCAAAAGATTAAAAAAAAAAGCCTAAGAGAAGGCCTCAGCCCTCCGGAGCAATTCGAGAAGGACTGAGATCATAGAAAAAAAGAATTTGCCTTCTAAACAGGTGTAGGGGGAAGCGAAGAAATAAACCCTCTTTTTTCGGTGAAGGTTGCAGGGTTCATCGACAGTAGGGGCTTGTGCAAAGACACCCGCAAGAAACTGGATGTGTTTTCGGATACCCATGGCTTTTGCCCGGGACATAGAGCTGGGCATCAGAAAGCCACCCCAGTGTGAATCCTCCAGCATGATTGCAGCCCGTTGTTTAAAAAGCGAAGAAAAAGATAGATCCATAAGGAATGAACAACAAAACAAGAGGCAAGTCTAGATCAACAATGTTCAATGTAAAAGTAGTGGAAATAAGGGAATGCCTACTTATAGAACAAACGAGATGATACTTAGTTTCCTACAACGCCTGGATTATATGCATTCACTCACAGGGTCACAGTAAAACCAAAGAAGATTTATTTTAAAATTCCTACTGTTACGAGGAAAAGAAAGGATTCTAAAATGTTCTAGGCAAACCTTGAGTGGACTTGGGGAAATAGATAAGATAATGGATTTTGTAAAATGAAGGGTTTGGTTAATGGCCCTCACGAATTTTCGGTGGCACGATACTGTAGGCATGCCCAAGAAACGAAGAATTAATTACCCCTGCACAATTGAGAAGCTATCCTAGACCATCGGATTAAGGTGACGTTTCGTCCACATCCGGAATACAATCCCAAGATACAACCAAGGCGGTTTGGTCAAGCCGAGGACTGGGGGCAACTAATGATGCCCTATCAATACGTGTGAGGCATAGCTAAGACACAAACCACAAGGAGTAGGTGTGAGACCACGAGGACCTTCGTGTATTCAGAAAATCCAACCTCCACCTCTGGCCAGACCTCTAGGTTGGAAAACGAGCTCGACAAATAAGGACAATTAAGCGTATAGTTCATCCAACTGGATCTTTTCACCCCCACAAGTTCTCGAAAAGGAAGGCTGCGTAGTCTCAACTACAAAGAATACGTGCGTTACTCCAGCGATCATGGAGAAGCAGACTTACAATCAAGAAGGGATGCACTCCCCATAAATTGATGAGATATTTACTCTAACAGTCTAGCAATACTTGGAGAAAATCCTGGTTAATAAGGGAAGGTGTTGCCAATGACTTACAAAAATCAAAGATCTTCACCGGGAAAGAGTATTTGTAACCCCGTTTGTTCTTAGCAAGTAATAAGATAATTCCCCCTCCCAGAAGCAAAATACTCTATTTGAATGAATTAATCAATGTCGATGAACCACTATAAATCTTGCTTATTCTTTAAATCTTCGATCAATTTTTGATATAGTCACTAACAAGAGTCTAACTTTAGTCGACTCGAACAATATATACCTTGGTCGAGATTTTGTGTACCTTCTAGTCTTTACACCATTCTTAATATATATATACTAGCATTTTTAACTTTCTTCTGCGTTAGGGTCGCCCTAGACCTAGGCCATTTAGCTGCTTGCCTAGAGCCTCACAATTTTTTATAGATTTTTGGGGTTTCTTGTTAAGAGTTTTACTTTTGGGTATATATATATTTTGGATGGACTAATTTAAGAGGACTCAAATTTTATTGATAGGTCTATTATCACTTAAACTACTTACCTAAAAAATTGCTCTGCCAATTGTAATAAACTGTTAGAATTCTGCAACATCAGAGGAAGATAAACGTATCTCTCGCATGACACACTTATGGGAATCAAAGACCACAGGTCCACAACTTCTGTGTTTGCTGAATTCATCAATTAAATCTGAGCAGAGTGAACAAAGAACACTAAAGCTCTCTAATCTTTTGCAGTTCAACAACCCAGCGATTGATAGTGATCAAGAATCAATATTAATTGGTCTTGTGATAAAAGCCAATTGTTCCCTCTCTCGCAATACCAAGTCGTGTTGTTTTTTAACTTTTATTTTAGTTTAATTTAATTTTTGTAATTGAAAGTCATATAATTAGTATGTCTATTAGAAGATATGATTTTGGATGTGAAAATCGTAAAAATTAATAAAAGAAAATAAGTTGAAATTATTGAATCTCAAAAGGGAACAATCAATAAATTTGTTGTTAGCGATAAATCAGCTACAATAAAAAATTCTAATGATGATTCAATGACTATTAGTGAACATGTTGTTGGTAAAGAATGTGATCCTGTTAGTGAACTAGATGTTGGTAAAGACTACGAACTTGTTAGTAAAATAGAAAATGGTAAAAAATGTGAACATGTTAGTGAACTATCAAGTTTTGTTTCAATAAATATTTATGATCCAGAATAATAGAAAAATATCGACACAAAATTAAGAGACTTATTAGTTGAAATTGGTGATATTGAAAAAAATGATTTAAACTTTTCTAGTGACGAATATAATAGACATTTTTTTATTGCACATTACACTCAAAAATTGTAAAACAAAAAAAATATGATAGAAGATGATTAATATATTCAAAAGATTTAAATAGAATATATTACTTTTCAAAAATTTTTTAAAAAAAATTTAAATAAATATATTTTAATAATTATTACTGCCTCCAGATTTATTGGGCTGCCCTGTTCTGCGTCAACCATGAAGAAGATTTGTAAATTATGGTTGTAAGCAACCATAACTCTCATCGTCTTCCGCGGTACCATTCACATGGTGCTGGTACTTTGCGTGGATTGGTACGCAAACAACAAACGACGGAGTCTGTCAAAAACTCATACAGCACGGAGAGAGAGAAGAGACAGAACCCCCCGCTGCTGCCCACCCTCAAATGCATGACATCTGTCCCTTTGATTGAGTTATCTACATAGCTATAGGTTCTAGTCCTGTGCTTTTCGCTATCGTGGAAAAAGTTTTTTAATCAAATGCCAAAACGATATGTTATTATTCATTTTACATATTAAATATAAGGAAAAATTTCACACATTATGTCTAAATTCAATCACATCATCTCCTGATTTTGAAGCAGTCTCTTCTGATTTATACTTTAAAGTTAACGATATCACTTTAATGCTTTATTTAATATGATAAAAAAATAGAAGAATAAAAAATTATATGAATAAATAAAATATTATATTTAGTAAGATATAAAAATAAGAAAGATAGAAAAGTGGATGCATTAACTTTCCTTCCCATTTATTAAAATCAATCCCTCCAAAATCGAAAAAAAATAAATGAAAAGTTAATTATTTGTGTTGAAATGTATTTTATTTATTTATAAATTATGTATACATTAATTTCATATAAAAATATAATGATAATACATATATATATATATATATATATATATATATATATATATATATATATATATATATATTAAAAATTAAAATTAAAATTTAGAATTTTAAAAATAAATTAAAATTTTTAAATTAAAAAAATATTTTTTTTTCATTTTCTTTAAGGGTGAAAATTTTCAACTCAACACGATGACACGATTTAAATTCGACACAAATCTTATGACACGAACTTGATTATAACTTGACACGAAATAAATTATAATTCGACACGAACTTGAAAATGACCTGACACGCGAATAAGAAATATAAAAGACTCATAATTTTATGACACAACACGAATCTGACACGACACGACTCGATTGTCATCTCTAATCTTATCTAGCACAAAAAAAATTAAAAAAATATTAGTCATTTTTATTTTTCATCCATCCAACTAAACACAAAGGAAGAAAAGTGTATTATTCCTATTTTTCATCCTTGAAGGATAAAAAGTGTATCCCTCCTATTTTCTATCCTTCCTACTTTCCATCATTCCTACCAAACGAAGCATAAATGTAACTTTTGTCTTCGTTAATAGATAAAATAATGATTTGACTAAATATTTTGTGAAAATTTCAAAACTATAATAGACTAAGATGCCCTAAATCATTTTTTTTTATTATATATGTCCTAGCTAACCAGCAAGCGTTGTATGATAACTATATTATCATATTAATCACCATATTTTCTCTCATTTATCTCATCCATTTTTAACTCTATTATCATCTCTCTTTCGCAACGTCATCCGACTACTCTTTACACATCGCCCTTCAAATATTAAATTTAAAAATTATTTGCTAAAATTTAATATTAATTGACTAAATTTGGTTGATAAAATATTAATTTTGTATTAATTTGATAAAATTAAATATTAATTTAGTAATGAATCGATAAAATTTAATGATAATTAAATAAATTTGAATGTTGTTTTAATAAAATTGAATGTTCAAATTAAACAAATAACATTAATTTAATAAGGTTAAATGTTAAATTAATGAAATTTAATAAAATTGAATGTCAATGTAGTGTTGATTTAATGAAATTAAATAGTAATTTAATATAAATTAAAGAAATAAAATTAATTTAATTTAATGAACTATAAAATTAATAAAACTAAATACTAATTTGATAAAATTAATCAATTTTCTATTAATTTGATGAAATGAAATGTTAATATAATTTAAATTAAATAAAGGACATTAATTTGATAAAATTAAATATTAAATTGATCAATCTAAAGGATAATGTAATAGAGCTAAAAAGGAGTGTGTTGAAATTTCATAATTGAGAGGGAGTATTATTAAAGTTTGGTCATATTATGGGTTGTGTTGTTAAAGTTAGGTCTATTTATAAGGAGTTTGGATAAAATTTACTCTGTAAAATAATCAGGGGTATTTATGTAAATCAACCATCGTCATTAATTCCATAACCTGACAATCACTTACAAGGGATGACAATGAAGTTTCAGAATCGGAAGGGAATACCATTGAATTTTGACATAATTATAAGGGGTGTGGATGAAATATTTCCTAAATAAATATATTATGATTTATTTCAAGGGTTAATAGCATTTTTGGTTCTTAAAATATGTTATTTTTTTATCAATTTAGTGTTCATTGTATCAATTTTGTCAATTTAGTCCCTAAAATATTCAATCAATGTCACTTTGCTCTCTAATCAAACAATCCATCAAATTTTTTGACAAAAATGAGTACATGTCATTTTTTTATATGATATTGCATGTCTAATACGTGATTATTCTGTCGACAACTTAGTAGTCCATCTATGTAAGGGCTAAAATGACACAAATTAAATATTTTATAAATTAAATTGACAAAATTAATATAATAAGAACTAAACTGACAAAAAAAATACATATTTTAAAGAATAACTTTGCTTTTAAATAGTTTTATTTAGTTGTAAAATTTAAAAAATAAAAAAGTCTTCCATGTCGTAATCCA